GAGCTGTCTCTTCTCTATACGTCTATTGTAATTGTCGTCCCGCAGTCAACGGAACCTTATCTGAAATCAAGGGCCCTAAGGCTAAAGATTGCACGTAATAAAAGATGCGTTTTCGACACCTGCTCTATTTTGTAGTTAGCCTAGATAAAAAGCTGCCGAAACAGCGTTTCGGGGGGGACATTTGCGGCGCGCATAACGAGATTCCTATGACGAAAAGGACTTCTAAAGGGGATTCGCTAACCTAATAGATTAAATCATAGATTTGAAGTATTTCGTCCACTCCGGTCGATCGTCTGAGCTGGATGAGGATCGCAAACAGCGTACAACTGGTTAGTTAGCCTAAGAAATCAGCTGCGAACAGTGGACTATTATCTGGAATTTTGAAGATATGTGGTTTCATCAATAATCAAAAATCAAGGTGAGCCATGGACTAGACAAGGCACCACAAGGTAACAAGGTTTCTTATTAATACTCAATGCTTCGCCCATCGCCGGGCACCTGTAGCGACCATGACCGGTTTCTATATGATTTTATAGGGCTGTTTCCGATGACGAGAAGTGGTGCCCCATGTTGCCATACCATAGTGGGAGGAACCGGTAAATCCGGAAAATATGCTTAAAGCCATAGTTAAATCGTATCCTCTGCCATAAAAAAACAAAGATTTACATTTGGTGTCCTAGAGGGATTTATTCGATGGAAACTGTTTGTGAAGAACAAGACGATTAATCGGTAGCCTAGCTACGTTGAGTGAGCCAGGCTTCTCAACAAAAAAGGTCTGATAGGTGAAGCAAAAGTGGTCCTTCTCGACGACAGCGCCAGATGCCATATTGCAAAGCCTCTAAGAAACGCTTGGCAAAGGCCTAATTGTTTTTTTCTCACCCATATTATTCTCCAGACCTCCTTTCCACGAACTGTTGTCTATTCCAGTCAGAGGTGAACGAAATTTATAACCACACATTCGACGTTAAAAAGGGTTTCAAAACACGCCTAGACGACTTCTCCAAAATCAAACCTGCAAAGTTTATGTCAGAGGAAATTAATGAATCGGAGATATGGTATCGGAAAATGTGCAGTATACTAAATATTCACAATAAATTGAATGAAACGCTACGCTTTTTATCATGTACATATATATATATATATATATATATATATATATATATATATATATAAAGTCTAAAACACTCTTCTTAAAGACAGCCAGTTGTATCGAATTGCGTAAAGAGGGGTGGTACCGAGAGCGAGGCTTCACCTGAAAGATGTCTAAAATACGCCATGTTCTATGTAAAATAAAAAACCTCCACCATTCAGATTACTATTTACAATCGATCGGATGGTGAGCAGTCCATTATGGCACTGCTTGAAAGAGAATTTCTTATTTTGGCTAGTTAATTAGGTCATCTTGCTCGACCCATCAGTAAGTATAGTTAGCAAGGCAGGCAGGTTGCTTTTATTGATAGGTTCAGCGTCACGTCAAGGAGTTTTACGTCCGGAACGCCTAGACCACGCTATCCGACACTTTCCTGAACAATGTTCTTTTTTTAATTCCCCTATTTAATAGGCGCTTTGTCCTATTGAAATAGTTAGGCTTAGGTGTATATCGATATGGCAAAGAAGGCTTAATCGTATACGGTACATCAAGTTCACTCCGTGTATGGTCATGCCGGTTTTAGGGCTACTCATGATAAAGCAGTTCATGTTTTTGACATCTATGGATTAGTCGGAGACTATTTTTGAATAGACTATGTAATGGCTATTTGCGTCTACGATACGCATCGTTATGCAACATAAATGCTCGTAAACCGCTATGCACCTGTCGTATATGCCATGTATAGCACCGTAACGGCTAGTAACACAGTGTTTGTGTTCTGTGAAGTGTCGCGCATCCGAAATGGTTTTGTCCTGTATAGATTTTCATTGCCCAGTAAGGCGTAACTGACCGTGAGAAAACACTTCGAAGCAGACTCGTACGTAACATGCCGATATGAATTGAAAGTGCCCTATCTAGCCTAGAGACTACCCGATTTAACCTTAAGCCGTAGTTAAAGAGTGTATATATATATATATCAGTATCGACACATATTCTATGACTGTCATTGTCAAAGTCGTTTACAAATAAATTTCACGGATTTTCATTTTTAACGCCGTACGTCCCTTTGATTCCTCGAACACTTTCCCTTAGATTCTGTATAGTTTTTTGATGCCGGCACCACACCCGGTTTATATATGTGCGCACTCCGTTGGAAAATTCTGTCCCTATTTCACTTTTCCGTCAACCAGGAAACCGAAAATAGTTACTATAGGCATAGGTGGTGACTATTCGAATAGTTAACGGCTGTATCTGGACAATCCTTGGAAATAACATTGATATCCCAAGATAATATAAGAATTTCCTTTACCAGCTGAATCTATCAGTAGCTAGGTAAAACGGTTCCTCTCTTCGGTGCAGCCTATAACATACGACTGCATGTACAGATTTTGTCTGTTAAAATGTTTTATCCTAACGATTTTTTGTAGAGACAACAATTCAATTACGTTATTTCTTCTGGAAGAAGCTTATAAAATAGCGAGCATGAATAATCTGACCAATCACCGTCTGCTAATTACAATGAGAGTGGAAATATACCTACTTAGGGTAGCACAGAGGCGCCACAAGTAAAGCGTCATTTTTGTGTTGGAATCATCTATCGAATTCGGCATATCTTGCCAATATTTGATGAAGTTATAGGACAAATTTCATCGCTTCTATACCCATATATAATTGTCGTAAACTAATAGTAACAGCAAAAAAAAAAAAATAACTTATCAATTTGCTATTGTATGGATCCCTCACAGGATTATTCCTCATATGTGCAGGTGTACCATTGATATAACGATATTGGGCAAATGCAAACTTTTAAACATAGTGGAATTTGTTACGATCTATTGCCGTAAACGACTATGTTATAGAGAATCTTATATCATATATCGTTGATGAATATTTGAGGTTTTTCGACGTCAGTGATGACTCATACTTTTGGTATCTACCGACAGAGAAAGGATCGTCACAGTGCCACGGTTCTTTGAACAAACATTAACCGTACGGATACTGCAGTAGACAAAGAGTAGCTCCCTGTCAACGATGTTAGTGTGTTCGAGTGGGGGGATTGAGAAAGTTTTGCTATTATGTTCTTGGCTTAGTACTCGAGGTATAACGGCAATCGAAGCTTTACTGCGCCCGTCGCCTCACTTGGGCTAACCTTAGGTGGTCAACGGGGAGGAGGGCTATACACTCCGACTCATTGCTTCGCGATTTCGTTATCAAGAATTAATCGTGAAACCAAGTGCTTGTTAATAAATAGTAATAAAAAAAATTCCTTATTAATATGCCGCAGTGACTTAGTAACGATACAAGAAACCTTTCAAGTGCTCGAAGCGTTGGCGGCCTACCTACTATATAAAGACAGATATTTAATTAAATTTTATCGTAGTAATCTGCATCCGACATTCTTCATAATATGGCGCCAGCTAGAGAGTACCCCTAAACCGAAATTTATAGGGGGTGCTAGTAGGCAAGAACGAATGTAATCACAAGACAATTCCGTAACAGGATACCTACGTGAATAATTAATCTCAGCCAAGTATCGCATATTTTTTTCTCTGATTATCTACTACATCATAGAAGAGAGCAACTTTAAGATCAAGTTGCAGGGTTACTTCAGTTATTCACTCTGAGACCCTGAGCCGTTTTTTCCGGCCTGTTTAGAGGAGGTTTGGGCCAAACTAGGAGTTCCCGTAGTTGAATTCGATTGCATTTATACAGTTCTTAGATTTGAAGGCGATCAGTGGACGGCTCTTCTAGTACGTATGGTTATTTTATATTGATAGCTCTACATGGAACTACAGGCTTTCAATTAGACCAGATGCGAGAAGAACAATGTGAAACCATTTACTTTTTGCTTTCTACATAGCCCGTGTCAAATGTATTAGTGAGGGGATTTAAAAGTTATTCGATCAGACGGATCTATGATTGCATTTGTTGGTAGAAGATGAGAAGCGTGTAAGCATACGCATTTGCATTTGATATATACTAACAGTTAACTTATATGTATATAAGTAACGATGTAGAAAATTTCGACTTGTTGTAGTGCTATACGGGGCCTGAATTTACTGCGCCTTAATTGAACAGGAGGAAAACGATCCCGTTGGTTATGATGACACGCGCACACGACAAGTTCGACTTGTGAGCCATTCTAGTAAAAACATTTGTTCTACTTCTTATCCAAGAACCCATCGACATTTACACTGCGCTGCTAGCTGACTCAATGTTCACGATCGCCGTTGACAAATAACTCGTAAATTGAATACTGGAAAAGTTGATGTTATATATATGCGGCGAAGTCTCAAATATTTCGCTTCGTGTCTAGAGTTGGCCGTTCGAAGTAATGCCAAACTTCTTAACTGGAGTTATTAAAGAGTACAAATACTACTTCGAAATCTAGACGGCACTAATGACAACGTGGCAATGCCTTTCCCGAACACAAATGAATTTCCACGATATTTCTTTCTTCTATGCTTTATCTAAATATCTTTCATATATAAATATCTAAATGTCTTTTAAGACACTGCGAGTCTCGATACCGTATCAAATAGCAATAAGTTAACAAGCATCGATATTCAATGGACTGAGATCGAGCGGCAGAAAATCAAGTTACTGTAGATAGGTTCACTTAATTTGAACTGGAAAAAAAGTGCCCGCTAATTTAGGCGTATCTGTCTGATTAATATATCTAGCAGCTTAGTATAGTCTATGTCTAGCGTTACAGGCAAGTAAATATTGTGCAGTAAAATTTATTATTATTGCTTTCCAAGGTGGCAAAACCGTTTCGTTCCGCATGTTCTAAAGCTGCTTTCGTTAATTACAGTTCAACAGGAACAAACTTCTTATAATTATTATGAAAATGTATGTACGAATAGCGCGCGCAGCTTCTGTCCCATTTGCCTAATATGTGACATGTATTACTATGTGTATATATACTATGTGCTATAGACTAGCGTGTATTGCTAAGCAAATAATAGCAGGTTTAGCTATACAGGGAGTGCAGAAAGGCAAAAAAATTGTCCGCTATTGAATGAATATACGTCTCAGTTCTTCGACGACTTTTTGATACAAGTAAGCACGCCAGGCGCCCCATGAGAGAGATTTTGACAACTTTTGTTGATGTCAATGAGCTCATTCTCGATGATTCTACCATGGAAGAATAAGGCTTCCCGGGAGCGTTGGATAATTTATTTTCAATTTACGGTAGAATCGAGGAATGAATGAAAGAAATCGTCTCTGTTTTTATTTATTACTATCTCGCATGAGGCGCTCGGCGCAGTTGCTTCTAATTAAAAATCAGCCTGGAGAAATGTTAACTAAAATAAAACAATCGGCTGCATAATTCATGTTTTACTTACAGAAGAAATCACAGAGACTTATCTGACACATATGTGTATATCAATTGTCGTCAATGTTTCATGCGAACTTTGACTGGCTTACAAAAAAAAAAAGAAGACACGCATGCCGGTATTCTTAGTTCATGTCATATACTTTTTTCTGCCGTCATAGCAACATCATTCATCAAAACGTTTTCGACATAAGAAAAACATAGATCTACTTCATTTCAACCCGTTCGGGGACAGATTGCCTCAATAAGTTGACATCTATATTTTTACTTTCATTGATGTTCTACATTGAATAACTATAGTTTCGCGATGAAACAGTGCCTATCCGCATAGATAGGGGCGGTATCTCGTATGTATGTATATATATATATTTACGTGTGCCTTTCACGATGGGGGTATTTATTGTTTGATACACAGCATTGGGTTAGAGTGTACTTTTGTTATTTAGTACAACTTTGAGACGCCTTTGTGGCCATTATAATTTCTATTGAACAGCCATTTGACTTTTAAACGATAGCGTTAGTTTTCTATCGAAAAGGTGACAGTCGATAATAATCAGTGCCTTATTTTGTTTATTTCTATCAAATACTTTGTGTCTCGAGCTCTGTGCTTGTTGTGTTTTAATGATGTTTCCTTCGAATGTATATTTTATAATACAGTACAGTAACGAGATTTTGAAGGCATGCGCCGTTATATTGTCGCCGTCTCTGTCGTTTGAATGTAGTAGCAAAGTGCTTATAATTAAATAAACAGAATAAATAGAAGGAGGAATTGTGTATACTGTAATCTACAAAGTAAAGCTCCCCTAATTAACGGGTACTCAGTTTCCACGAGCGTATGAAAATTAAAATATATTCTATAGCACCCTCTATGGTTCCAGAAGCAGAATCCCAAGGGCCTACTCAATTACCAAGTGTATTCGTACTAACAGGTGGTATATGCTTTAGTAGGCCAGGAAGCAAGAAAGACCTAACGTCATTGACGCACGAAATTGAACTTGGTTTCTCCTTTGCTGTTGTTATGAGCCGCGCCGACGGCGCTCTAGAGCCTTACAGAACCGTCGAGCGAACTAGATAAACTATTGTTATCATTATCATAATTGTCCTCGGCTTTTGTGCTGCTATACGAAATTGTTATTAGATGCGCGTATTCGGCGCACTTTATTTTTGGCGCACCGCCAGCGTATTTTAAAGCCCCTAACGCCCTCTTTCTCTCTTTTGCTATTTAATTTTTGACGGCTTTTAGGCACGTGCAGATTTACAACGTTTTTTCGTCAGACCGGCGCTCTTAGCCAGATGCAGCCAGCCATCAATGCTTATGTCGCAGGGTACAGCTCTGTGTGTATCTATCTGCTTAATGAATTAAATATAACAATGGAAATATACTAGTAATACTATTAGTAATGATCGTACCGACGTGAGTACGTGGAATGAATCCGTTTTTCCTTGTTTCCTGCGTGTAGCAGATGATCACAATCATCTACTGTACAGCTCATAGTCAACAAGCGATCTTTGTCCACTAATAGAGGTCTGCTGCTAGGTGGACATTTGCCAGAATAGGGACCCTAGTACAAATCTTACTATAAGATAAACCGACGAGCAGTTGTTTTGTACACGACCATAGTAAATTGTATACGAAGCAAAACGATTTGGAACCCCAATTAAATCGACCTGAAACAATCCAATTATATATATAATCGAAGTATAATATAGCAAAGGTAATCGGAAAAAAAACAACAGACTTGTAATGAATTTTTAGCTAGCGGTTTTTACGTGTACGCAATTAATGGCTTCAAAGTTTAGATAATAAATTTCTTAATTTATTTAGACTATAAATTTTTATAATGCTGACGCTGCTGCATTAAGTTGAAGGTGAATTTGTATTTTCATCGCAATATGTCTGATGATAATGAAAGTCGGCCACCTCTCAAATGGCTGCTGAAACAGTGTGTGAATGTGTATGTTACGGCTGAAAGCAATGATAAGCGACGAGGGTAAAAAGCGTCTATTTCGTACTCCAACTATATATCGGGGTAGGTTATCATTTCTCGATGGCGGAGAACTCATGGAAGTTAATGAACGGTCATTCGTGTGTGTTCGAGCCGTAGGTTGAACGACGGCCTTAAAAGGCATCTCGAAGCATTTACTGTAATTAGCGTCAAGGAGACGCTAAACAGGTAACGATGAACCCGTCATCTTGCACGTGAATGAAAGTAATATAGTTTTCTTTATTTTGGAGTGATACTTTCTCGCGCTTTAGGCCCGTTTTTATGTCAATGCCGAAGCCACTTTCTATCGAAAAGAGCTTTGCTACCAGGCCAGCAAACTCAATAGACAATATTAAGTTTAGCTATTCATCGTATCCGGATTGGACATAATTGCCAGTATCAGAAGCATTTTGTTTCTTTTAGATTCCTGAAAGAACTACTGGAACATCGTATTGAGTTATACTACGACTGAGTTATTATCGCACCGGATTTTCGCTCGTTCAGACTTTTCTTTTAGTCGCTTTCTCTTCCTTCTTCATGTTTATCAAGCTAAATGACAGGCAGTCTCTATTGTAGATATAGCAAAAACCAATAACCTGTTTATGTATTTCTGTAAATATGTATGTATGCATGTATATATATGTTTATAAATCAAAATATTTAAACTTAGCAGTAGGGTTTCTGAGCCCACTGAAAGCGACATTTCCGCTCTGTATATTGTGTGCACTGAATCTTTATATCGTATAATGATATGTATTTGTGCTCTGGATCGATTTCGTAAAATGATGAAGACGACTAGCTGATTCACGCATCTGCCTACCCTTTGGACAACTATGTACATTTTTCAACTATAGACTGGCCTAGGCTGTGCAGGACCGTGCTGGTCTGAGCAAGACTAATAGTAGTAGCTCCGTAGCAAAACGTATAGAATGCTTAAATAGATGCATTTTATACATAACTTATTCGTCAGTTGATTAAAGAGGACAACAAAGGGTCGGGACCATCTTCTGCCACAATCATGTCTTCGTATGGGCCGGTGAGCAAAGTACACGTCGTCCCTGGACTTGAGCTACCCAAGCCAGATGACGGACTGCTTGGCTCGTGTCCTGGGGAAGGCTCTCGTTTGACATAGAATTCCGATGTCCACGGTGATGGCGTAGGGGAGGGGCACCGATCCGAAGCTGCGGTAGCGACTGTGCCCCCTGGTCCGCCTCGGCTATTCGCCAGCTGGAAAGCCAAACAACCACATAGAAGAAAAATGTAGACATTTAGATCTCAATTGTGTGGGCCTATGTAAGTAGGAAGCGGTGCCATCATTTTGTCCAGACAAAAGTTTTTGAAAGGCCATTAGAGCTATCGTGAGCCTTTACGCAACATTTCTGTTTAAAGCCGAGCATATATATTCATTGTTTTGTGTACCCGTTGAAAGCTAACGTTAGCACTGATATATATAGCAGAAATTACACATATATGAGCCAATTCTTCTGTCGCTGGAAAAAACGAGCATTCATAGGTCGCACTCGACCAATGACTGAAGTTATTGATGCATACTTTTGATCTATTGTAAGTCGTTGTATTTAAAAATATGCCAGTATCGCTTTTACCGACACCTATCCTTTAACCATGAGCATCGATCCTGATTTCTCTATTGCCTATAAATTAATACACTTATACAGATCTGTGTCTGCATATCCGTGTGTGTGCGTACTACGTAAAAGTTTACGAAGGCAGTGTAACGAACTTTTATTGAAAGCAGAATTAAGGCTAAAAAACATCTGTGCGAGTATAATCACGTCTTATCACGGCGTTTACATGCAACATTGTAATAAAGAAATCATGGAAGGAAGAAGAAAAAGCGCGCCCATTGGAGAACACCTTTCCGACATCCTTTTCCAGCGACGGCACTTGTAGCGCCCTCTGGCATGTGTCTCGCTAAACCCAAAGAAAAACACTAGAGGATGAGGGTCCGTACGCCCTGAACAAGTTGAGCTTGTCGGTAGATCCTCTTCGTGTCAGTGGAGTGGTGGGGAGGCCAGATCGTTGACTGAGCCTGCGGAGTGCTGGAAGCAGAAGTGAGTGTTCTCTATGTTAAGGTTCGGTGCAACCAGTGTCTAGCCTTAGTGAAAGTACTGCAAATGGCTGTTGTTTGTGGCTAGATTATGACGATGCTGGTGTGACCACAGTTGCTGCAACTTACTGGATATGCTTAATGTCCGATAAAGGCGCCCTCATGTGATATGACCCCTAGCCCCCGCTGAGAAGGCCCTCTAGCGTCCATTAGTAGGGCCTCTCCTCTGCTTTTAGCTAGCATGGGACGGCCAATTGAGGGCCGTGCGGCTGTACTCGTGTACGGGCTGGTGCTAGCTATTCTACTTCTGGCCGCAGCCAATCTTTGTGTAACGCTGCTGCTGTTTGGTGTGCTCCGTGTAGGTCCTGCCGGACTTAGCGGCCTCGAATTTCTTCCGCACGAACAGCTCGTGTGGTTTCTGCACCGAACGGATCTGCAGTCGATCGTGGCACACAAGCCACACATAAGCTCGTTCAAGGGGGAAGCTATGAACATAGTTGGGGAGAACAGTGACGTCGTGCTGAATGCTGGTGCCGAGCTACGGGTTGGACCGCGGGCCACCCGCGTTAGTCGCGTCAAAGAAATGCGTGTAGTGAGCCCTACTACGGGAAAGACCGTCTTCTCTACAGACTTTAAAGGGTTTACAATACCCAAAGGAATACCGAATCTGAGTGTAAGTGAAGCACACGTGAAGCGCATCAGAAGCGCAATCAACGATTCGCTTCTGATTACCTCCGGTAAGCAGGTGTATCTGAAAGGCAACGCTGGGGTCGATATTCGATCACGGAATGTTTCCATTCGGGCTGGACAGGATGTGCATCTGAAGAGTGTTAATGGACGTGTTGTGCTTGACGCCAAGGAGACGATCTTCCGTTTGCGGGATCTCCGCCCGCACGACGCCGGCCAAGCTAGTCATCCACAATATCGATTATGCGTTTGTGCTGCGAATGGCCGGGTTTTTCGTGTGGCCGTTAAGGAGCAGCGATTTTCGTGCAACCATGTGCGGTTCCCTGTTAGCGCGAACCCGTGCACGTAGTGACATTTACCATATCTAGGACAATGAGAACGATGATAATAAGATCCATGTGTCTGGTACACGCGAAAAACAAAGGAATACCAATCCAAGTTACGGGCGTGCGATCACTGTAGCAGGATTTTGTATCGATTACCCGCCGGGTACAAATCATTAAAGAACAGAAGCGGAACGGTGGTGAACGTTAACGATCCCATACTATACTATACGCATAAATGCATTAAGTGAGATAACGTCTTATGTTTAAAATAGGTATATACTGTGAGGAACAAAGGAAAGTTAATTAGGGAAAAAAGGAAATGGTCCATTTCGTTGATGTAGCACTAAGCCGCTATTGATGATAATAGTAGCAGTAACATCATACTGATGATAATCAATATCCTATTTATATGGTTCGAGTTGTGGGAGGTGGCTATGAAGATTTTTGCGCATATACTTGTCCACCATGTATAGCCCTAAAACGGACAGACCATGTTAACCTCGAGCATTGTTTTGTCAGGACTGTACATCATGTGTACAATATTAATTCATAGAGAGGAGAATCAGTAACATCTTTGGACAATGCGATTCTTAGAAACCATTGCTGTAGCAGGATCTCTTTGCGTCTGTCGTTTGGCTTTTGTCTATAAAACCGCACCTTTAGGCCTTTGGGGAACAAAAACGAATCTCTTTTCAGCACATGCTGAAATTCAGTAAAGAAAGCCGTACAAACGGCGAGGGCAGTAAATATGCAGTACATTGGCTTCCAATCTAAAAGCCCGACTTACGTTTTTCTACTCAACGGGTCAAGTACAGAGGCACTTCTGTAGCAGAACTTCAATAACGGACAACAATAAGTCTCGAATGCACAGAGATCACGCTTTCAGTATTGGGCTACAGAAATGTAACGCATATATATATATATATATATATATATATATATATATATAACTTCTACTGTGCCAAAGTTTTGGAGAAGCAGGAGTATTTGAAGCATTAGATAAAAACTGCGGCCCAGTTTCCATATACTGTGTACTTGGATTCGTTCATTCTGTCTTCCAGGTCGTTATCTTTCAAAGAGTTATTATGAGTTTCCCATAGCGAATATGAGTAAAAGACATTTACTCTTTGATCTCCCACCAATAGATTAGTTAGCAATCAAAACGATGTTAGCTATGTATCGCTAGTGTCCAGTAGAAATTTATCTTTGGCTGTACTTATTATTGTATAATGATATTGGGGCATTTTCCTATTCATAAGATGCTTGTAAAGGTAAGCGATGACGGCCTGGACGAACGCCTATTGAACTAAAGGTGGTGCCAAATATTCGAACTTTTTTTAACAACAAGAGTTCCATCAATGCCATATGATACCTTTGTAAAGTATACGCAAGATATTATACTTTAAGCTAACAGGGCCTAACAAGCAGCGATATAGTAAATGTGGATGTGGTTCAATACAATTAATAAATGAGGCCGAAAAAAAAAGGTAGAAAAAAGAACGGGAAATGTTTTGTTTTAAATAAAAATGGATTTCTACCCAAAATTGCTAAGTGTCTTTGCGAGCACGATTCGGGCGGATGCTGCTGCTGCTGCTGCTGTCAGTAACATTCTGCCATTTTTGATTGTAGTAAATATTTAATTTCTCCTCGACATCCACTACGCATAAACACATAACAGGCAAGCGAACGGAGGCACATCAACACGCGCAATTGCACACAGAGTCACATGGCAGTCGGCTCGTATGCTTCGTTCCGTATTTTGCCACCGGATAGTGGTTCACACAACACAGTGATTCGATCTGCAGCACCAATAAATCGACGTCTTTGGTAGTCTAATGTTAGACCTTCTTCTTCCAGTGGTAGCAATAGCAGTAATGGCGGTCGAAGGCCACGGATATCCTTGCTATCTTCTGGTCCTGTTTCCCCGTTCTGCCATAGTCTGTCTGCCTGTGCGTGCAAAGATCAAGTATAAGGCCAACCGCAGGCACGAAAAAAAGAAGACGCAGTGCAGAGGTTTTAGTCACATACGCACACACGTATACATATATCACTGAGCTGCATATCCTGCGCCATGTTAACATAAGCCGATGAAACTGCCGATTCTGGAAAGCTGTTACAATATGCAGCCTCTACAGTCGCAGCAGCTGGATCAGTAAAAGCAGTACGTAGCGGGCACAGCCGACTGATAAAGAAGGCAAAAAGTGAAAGCAAAGCCCATCGTTTACTATCTAAACAGGACAAACGACGTAAAACACGCTAGTTTGCCGGTCATGCGGACCGATGCCTTACTTCCGTAGAAGCTTCATAGATCCAGTGGGAAATCTCTGAAGAGAGAAGGAAAACCGAGCGCACGCGGACGCAGAAGGCATCATGGGGCTACTGCCATCAACCCCCGTTCGCCGCCGCCGCCGCTGCTACTGCTACTGTCGCTACTGTAGGGTTTCGCATCACGGCCGTCTTCGTCGGCTGCGATGCAAAACAATTCGAGGTTGGCAGAGCAGCCTTTACACGCTTCTCATCGCTGTCTACTCGTAGCGTACAGTCCCACAGTAAACCAGAATTTCGAGACCGTACAGCGTATAGAACAAATTTTATGAGAAAAGCCCCCAGATAGGCTCTTGCTCGAGTTTCTTCAGCGAATGCCTTTTCAATAATTTTAGTCGCGTACACGCCTCTGCCACTATCCGGTGTTAATGGCACAGCAGCGTCTTGGTAGCGTCACTCCAAATATCATCGCAGAGTAGTGGCGTATAAGAATAACGGACGAATGGCATACCATAGCACTAAATTGCAGCTGATATAACGAGATCCCGCCCAATGACAGATGAGACAAATCCTTCACGTAGGATTTCCGTCGACACCTTCATTCTTCCACCACACAATTCCTTAGCCGAGTTATTCGTTCTCGCGTTTTTCCCTCTTGTTCCATTGGTAAAAAAAAGGCAATGACGTGTACGAAAGTGACGGTGGTACAAATCCGTCTTAGCCGATCGTCGCTATAGACACGCAAATCACACATTCCACTGTTTAGACACGTTCACTCGCACGTAGTTATATGATCTTCTGTCGTGCGAGGTGACACCGAACGATGACGTGGGGCTATTTAGATTTCACTGAGTTGTTCAACTAAGTCAAAGTTATGTAAGCAGACGAAAGTTCTGTAAAGGGAAGGTGACAGCTAAACATACGTTCATTACCAATTTATTTCAATTTCACTATATGTCTATATAAAAAAAAAAAATGTACGTCAACGTACAATCGTGCATATATGTATAAGAAACAAACAGAAAAAACACATCAGAATAGGTACTGCAACCGGTATGATACGCCAGTTGTTTTGTTTACCCGAACTTTGTGTGATCCCTTTCTTACCTGTACCTCAAGTTGGTGAATTCGAATCAGCAATTGTTTGTTCTGATTTTCAAGGTATTTTTGCCTTTCCTCAACGGCGAGCATTCGATCATTTTCTCGTTTCAACGTCTTCACATAGTCCACTGTCGCCTTGAGGATCGTACCCTGAAAAGTAGAAAACAAAGTAAGCCACTAATCAAATCGTCACGATCGTATTTTTGTTAAAGAGTGAATGAATGCTACGGTGGTTCTATGTCCGGCAAGTTTGTCACTTGATAAAAATGTTCTAGCTGGGTCTAAGGCGATCAGTCTATTCCACTCGCGTACCTAGGGAAGCATACGCTTATTGCAAAAGTCCGTTTGTTAAGTTTCTTCGGTGTATGTTAGCTTTTCGTCAGTGTCAACAAGTGCAGGCACAAATGTTATGTACGCACGAACAACTTTATGACTATGTTCCTCTAGCAGTGGCGTCCACAATTCATCAGCCAAGGTGTGCGGCAGTCCATCAGCCTTACAGCATTCCTGGTACAGTTATCCTGCCCGGCACAGAACAGATCTGGCGCCTAGTCGTTCCTATTCGCTTCCTGCCTAGCTTATTGCGACCCTGAATGCCGTGTTTGATCACAGCAATTCCACGACGAATATCGTTTCCGTGAAAATCACTGTCAGCCTGGACAAGGAAGGTAAACAACAGGCAGTGCCACAAGTTGTCAACTGCAGTCGTCTATGACCTCGACTTTTTGGGCATGACTGGAAGGAATTCGTCTCCTCTCATTGTTTGCAGCACTGCTGTGCCCACTGCCATTCCGTTAAGTTTCATTAACTTAATGCAAAGATGACTTTAATGTCCTTAATGTAAGCGCACTAATGCATATCTATAATTGTTGTTAGCTCACTAGCAGCTCAGTGACGTCTAGAAAGCCTTCTCGATTGTATCTTTATATTAAGATATATTAAGATTATATTATCTTAATCTTGATTGTAATATACCTTATTTTGCCGAATATCCCGAACCAGATCATAGTGGCGGTCATTGTTGCGTGGCAGCAACGTGCCCAACTCTTTTATCCGATCGTTGATGTTGAACCTCCGACGCCTTTCGACTGTAGGATGTGAAAAGTCCATTAAAAAACGTAATCGATAAAAAGCAAAAAAAAACCCGTTAGGCTAAAGTGACCTTTTTGTTCCTTCCTGTCTTTCAGTTAAAGTTAACATGCTTTAAATATCTACGACGTGCTATACCATCTAGTAGTTTAAATTGGTTGATGGTGAAACCAGGGAGACAAGTAGGAGCGCTTGCACTAATGAACCGAACCACTCCCTTTCACAAAAAGTGAGTAGCACGACACGCTGGGCCATCGTGGCCTGCCAAAAACAGGTAAAATCCAAAACATCCGTCAGGTAGCCTTTATGCGTTAGCAGCGCCATCTACTTTCGTATCTGATCAATCTATTTCTAGGTGTAAGGTTATTATCGCTCTACGGTTATTTGCTTCTCTCCGGCCGAACTATACATCAATGGTGCTCTCTCCTTGGTCCAGTCGACGCAGTCTTTCGCTCTGGCTTTGGCGCTACAGCATTGGTTGCCGGCGCTTCATCCGTAATCTTAGTTCTGCCGTAGAATCATCTCATCCCATCCTTGACCGGCTCCTTGTGGCGTGTGCCTGTTCAGGACACGAAGTCTAGCTTGGTCCTCAGATCTTGCTTCTCTCACTGGTCATTCATCCGGACGAGAAGCGAACGAAGGCTGTCCTCTGCAGGGTCACATAGAGTTACAATCGACTGCCAGGCGGCGGCTCAAGCGGACAAGCATTAGCGCGAACTGATTTGTGTGTTGGTTCCCTTCCACTTCAGTCTTGTTCCTCTCCTGTCTTTGTCGTTGGCGAAGTTGTCGCTGCAATCATCGTCGTCGTTCTTTAGTAACCAAGGTGGACACGGCACTGACGTGAGAGACGCAAGCTTAGGGTGGTCTTGGATGGGGCCGTAATCAGGATCAGGCTCTGTTCGCGACCTGAGAGTAGTATGGCTAAAAGCAGAGCACCGAATGTGTCTGTGCGTATATACCTGAGTGACTGTGCGTCGCCTTCTCCCTGTTCCTGTGGAGCATGAGAAGTAAAAAAATATAATAACGCCGGAAAATCGCTATCGACGCAGAAACGACAAACGGATCAACCACGTCGAACATCATAGTAAAGCCACTGAGCCTCCTGCGTGTTGTCCTATGAGTCAGTAGGTTCTTGTTTGGCTGGATCCTTTGAAGGAACGCGAGGGTCTATAGACGATGGAAAATCAGCCGGTCTAGTTTGGGCAGGGTTGGCCCAAATGCTCAATAGTTTACTTTTCGGGTTAATTTAGAATGGAGCAGAATCGACGGGGCTGGGACATTGTTATAAAATCTATACCTGCTAGTTTGGGCAAGTAAGCTGAAACGAGCAAAGTGTAGTCTGTGATGAGGAAAAGCTCAACGAAAAAGTAACTAGAGTATAAGAGAATGCTCGAAACGACAACGATGGGCGAGGAAGTCCGGGACGTGTGTGTACACCTCTATAAAGCACTTGCTACTATGGTTTGTTTAGAGAAAGACCGCTTAGGTCTGAAATGTAGTGATCTCGCTGCAAAAAAGGTTTTTCAAGTTACAGAAAGCCCCGTAGTTTTAAGCACACACTTAAAGTCCAGACGAAAGTGAGGTATTTGTAAGAAGCGTGGTTGCGATGACGGTAACTTTTTTGCATGAGCGAATCAGTCATTTGAGAATTACGGAAATAAGAGATTTTTTTAGCAAACACAAACGATTGCGTACAAATAGCAGAGCATTCAATAAAACGCCTTTATAAATGAGCTGTTTAATGAGTAATTACCCACTTTTATTTCAGATGTGCTTCGCATCAACTGTTCTTAGCAGTGTACAAATAAAAAGTACTTAAATTCGCTTTCTACTATTTTTAACGGACAATGAATATTTCCTTAGAAACGTACTTCAGAAATAGTGTACTAGAGAATAAACTTCATAGAAAATGTTTTACTTTGATTCTAGTTGTTGTCACGTTTTATTCGCAAATTTCCCCCTTTTAGGAGCTAGATGGTTGTTATTGCCCTTAATTTTAGGGGTACGGGTGAGGCATTATGCACTTTTAGTTATTGCTGCAAGCTTTACTTAGACATTCTCGTAAGGCAAGCGCAGCGAGTGTGCATGAGGCACCTTCTGGGGTGATCTTCAAGAAAATTTGCGAATCGGCCTCTACCCAGTGAAGTGTTGTAACCACAAGCTACCAAATAGCCATTGAAAAGTAGCAGGCACATGGAGCCTAGCAGAAATGGCAAAAAAAGTGCTACGCTTTCAGACGAGGCGCCAACATGCGACGTGCTGGTTGGTAATCCATTTAGGATAAGCGTGAATGGGCAAGCATGGCGATACACAGGAAAATGGCAACGAGACGAAAGAAAGCTCGCTCCAACTTGGCGACTGCGTTCGCTCTGCATTGGTACGGTAGTTCGCCCTCTTAGGACGAAGGCGTCAGCCCACACGAGCAGTCTCACAAATACGGATACACACATACACTCGAACTATTTGCTCTTTCTGCCTCTTTATTTTGCCTCCGCCCTTAGCGCCAGCGGGCCGCACTATCATCATCTCGTAGGTTTTGGCGCTTCACATTCGCAGAAGAAGCATGGCACTGCGGAAAAGCAGTAGCAGTTGTGCGTCACGCGTGACTTTGAAATGCAAAAGCGGCACAGAACGGTGGAGAATGAAACCGGGCGGGTACCAGCTCGCCGAAGACCGTCAGAGAGATGCAAACTGATACAAATGCAGGCAGATTTGGAGAGTGAGACACACAAGGCACCAAGGAGATACTGGCGAATACAGGACGAACTCGTAGGAGAAAAAAGTGAATAGCTATTGTCTAGAGACGGAAAATACGAGCGAATATTGGCGAGAGAGTCTACGTAAAAGAAAAGCAAAAGAGTTAAAAAAAAAAAGGCAATGAAAACAGTAGGCAGGCAGACGTTCATACAGGCATGTGGCCAGGCCCTGGTTGTGGGAACGCATAAAGATACCATAGTCCAGCAGAAGTAACAGATAAAAGAAAGGAAGACAATATAAGAACAAGGGCAAAGCGGAATGAAAGAGGGAAATTAAACAGCAGCGCCACAGAAACGTACAACAAACTTAAGTTTAAAAAAGATGGGAACAACGATGACGACAATAACAACAACAAAAATAACGGTACAGGCCCTAACCACGATATGGTGCTTATACAGACCGAAAAGAAAACATTCTCAAAAAGAGGAGCGGAATGGCAAAGCCCACAAGAAAATAGCGGCTATCGTTGGCGAGCAATTTAATTTTTCGATCAAGTAATCCATATAATGGACTCTTGTCCCGTTCAAACGACGCCAGGGAAGACAAGCGAGTACCCAGATTGCAGCGTTATTGTTCAAAAGAGATAATCGAAGCTGCGGTGGGATGCTTCAAATTAGGTAGGATGCAGAACAACACCGATAATCCGCACTGACAAGGATACTATAGAAACATCAGGTAACGCTTTTATCAGTTAGTAGTACCAGTCTACTAGCCCTCGTCTTTATTCGCATTTAAACAGTACTGCTTCGGTAAACGCTATACTCACAGAAGATCTTTTTTGCCTTCTCCAGTTCAGCTGCATGCAATAAGCAAAACGCCAGGACGCTCAATTGGGTAGAAAATAGACCAGTGTTGATACTGCAGGTCCACTTCTAGACTAGTGGCTTTTTCCGCCTATAATTATCTTGCTTTCCTTCTATCTCTCTACCGCGTACTCTCTATCGCGTTGAGTGTTACGCGCTTGTTCACTAGTCAGTCATGTGACTGATCGGCGCCCGTTATCTTTTCCATTCGCCGGTCGGAGCCAGCCGTGATTTTCCCAATTTTCAATTCTTTTTCTGTCGTAACCTTCCTTTTAAGACCCCACATCAACTGTCAATGCCTTAGCCCTTTGCACCTCTTCCATTTGCGCCTTGTCCTGTTTTTTCCTCGTTTCATCCCTTCGTCTGTGTGTCAGTAACTGTCTATTTTTCGAGAAGGCTTCCCTGGTGATGAGGAAAGCAGAGAGGAGGAGGTGCATGATATGGCAGGGTTAGAGAGCTGGCAGAAGGAGAAGGAGCTGAAGAACGAACCAAAAGAAAATTATTGCTTAAAGGGCTTCTGTTTTAGATACAATCACAAATGCTGACGCATTTCGACTATTATTACTGCTGTCGAAAAGAGAAAGAACAATGAAGACGGCTATTATTGCCATCGTAGCTGCGGCTACTGCTCCTGCCCCTAAACAAGCCGCTGATACAGCCAGAGATATGGGCAATAGTGCCTCTTTGACGCCGAAGGACCCCCATAAAAGGCGTCGCCCCACTTTCTCAAGAACTCCGGCTAAATCACTTTATGTTGCTAATCGTGACATCATAAGCGACGCGCAACGACGTTCAACAAGACAAGCATTCAAAGATCGAGTTGTACGTATGCATATAGTTCCCCGCTATGCTCGTGTAGCTGGTTATACGTAAGTTTTTTGTACTGCTAGGGAAGCGTCGTGCATTATGCTGCATGAAAATAAATTAAGAAAGTTAACCTTAAGTTCACTAGTTGTCCCACTAACAACGAGGACATCCATGTTGAAAAATGCTGACACTTTGGGTTTTAGCATTATAATTTTATCAATTTGAGATAGAAGTTATTTTTTGCTTATTGGCAACCTAAGTATTCTAGAAACAACAGCATTATTTGCCAGGTTCCATTAACGCAGTCCGTATCTTCTGTTTAGTGTATTTCATTTACTTTGATTCAACTGGATCGTAAGTATAGATATATCTTTAGTAATAATAACGGCTATAAATGACAGTGATACGCGCCGCATGTACGACCTGCACATGTACGTAGATGCAAGAAAGCCATCAAGAGTCCAGTGGCCTTCATAGGGGCGGTTAGGCCAGCTTTCATGCAAAATCGAGCAGAAAGCGATGCGTGCCATTTTCGGACACTATTAAATTTACCCTTTGGCTACAAAGGGCCAAAGATATAGCGATAACGTCACGGCGTTTCATGACCATCCCCGTACCCAGTTCTTTTTCTCCGCTTTGCCCCCCTCAGGTATGGCTCCATATTGCAGCTTCTTCCACGAATGGTTGGTTGAAGGCCCACCTGACCTATCTCGTTACTTCTCGCTAAAAGATATAAACCTTTCATCATGGTCCTGCGTGGTTCGTTCAATCGTACCAGCCGAATCAGTTTGGCGATGCAGAAATGGGCGAGCTTCAATTAGACATACGCCATGAGTTATGCACCCTACGAGAATTAACAGACCAGAAGTTTACATCATTGTTGGCATAGGAACTAGAGTAGCTATAAAAGACTTGTTGCAATTATTCTAAATTTTCTAGTTTCATACCGGTCTCAACATTACTGAACTCATCTTTCGCATACTAGATCGCGACCGATCGTCCTTCGGCTGAACAAGTTCTTTCCGGTATGTCCAGGTAACGTCTGGCACAACCATGGCTTAGATATCTGCGCGCTTCAGTGTCGTGCGTACGAGTTCCCGCATGTCTTCAAACGAGATCCATCTCTCTAAGCCGCAGTCATCAATGCGCAGAAACAGTCGTCTCGAGCATATGACGGCAAATAGCTGAAGAGGAACCTGAGTCCACGTGCAGCTCTGTGCGAGACATTTGAGGAATGCTCTTCATCTATTGCGAAGAAAAACGCGACTCGTTTCATTGCCGGAAGTAAGCAATGAGAAAATACCAGTAAACTGGCAGACACGGCGGTGGAAAAATGCCGACGTGATTATTTGGCGCCATCACCACGATCACCGTGACTGCCGCTGCTAGGTACGGGAGGTTGTCCTCAGGCCGACATATGTCCGGACGATACCAGGACGCATGCCACTGAAGACGGCCATTTACGAGAACCTACGTTTACATAGCTCTGACATTCAAAGGGCGTGATACGTTTCATCGCTACCACTGCCTGTAAAATATATATATGATTAGACTTTTTTCGGCGAAGGTTTGTCCTCATTGTGAAATGACTTATAATAAGATGTGAGTGCGATGATTTTAGTGCTACTAAAATTCACAGGGTCATCGTTAGGTTGTCGGTTGGCTAGCTCTCTCACGCCAGATGGTCTCCGGTAGATTATGCTTGTAGTATCTCAATTTCCATATTTTCTCGTACTATGCATCATATCGTTCCGTTAAGTTGTGGAAGCAACTAGCTATTTCCAGCTTAGCTGCCGTCGTCGTAGTCGCTGCAGTGGCAGGAGTAGGAATTCAACAGTGAACGGTGTTGCGCCTTATAATAATCTACTGCTTTATACCTCCTTGGACTGAGCGGCAACCAGAAGCTGGTGGTTGGTCTTTTGGTTGGATTGTAGCTCCTTTATCCAGTGGGGCTCTATCATAAACAGTATGGCCGGCCTGCTACCGCTGGTCCTGCTTCAGCCGCTTCCCCTTCGAGTATTACACTTACGGCGCGCTGGCCACGCTTGCCAGTTATATATCCACCTGATAAAGCCTCCACCGGCTTGGCCCACGGCACCGCCTTCTCTTATAGGGGACGGCGATAGAACGATGCCGGTCGTTGCCCGCGCCGCGCCCTCCACACCGAGACTCCTTTTGCTACCCGTTACAGGGCCAGCAACTATCTACCAAAAACCAACACCAACAACAACAGCCCTAGCAGCAGCAAAGAAACAAGTAGCATGTATTGCCTTCCTCTTCTCGTGCTCTGCCCCTTCGCTTTGCCGTCTGCTTACACTTTGTATCTAGGGGCGCTAGTCTTCCAACTAGCGCGCTCTGTTGTTTAGCGTAAAGTGTTTAACCTGCTCTCTCGTAAAGGCTCGTAGGGAAGCCGGGTTAGCTAGGCCTAAGTGTCTGTAAGTAGAGAGACGCACGTGGCTTTTTTGTTGATTAGCACTCTATATGAGTGCCTATTAGCGGAGAATTGGAGATGAGATTGACCATTATAATAGTAAAACGACAAAGGAGTGGCCTGAATTAAGCAAAGCTTTGAAGTATCACTGAGTAAAGACAGTTGGCTATCGCAAATTTCATTTCGCAAATTGTAAATTGTAGCTCAATTGATTCTTGTGAGGTAATTATTGCGCATAAATATCACACAAATTCCGCACTTCGACATCCTAACGACCTTTATGAGCTAGTAAAGAACAAGCATAACAGCCCCCTCTGATATTTGAGAGTGATTTTGCTATCTGTGCACCTTTACATGAACTCCTCTAAAGCACTTTATTGCAGAGAGGAGCTGCTAGAAGGTATCGACCTGTATTTCAGCTAAACATTGAGAATGAAAAAAAAAAAAAAAAAACTATAAACATTTACATTGCTACAAGTGGCAATGTGAAATACTACGACAGTTGGGATTCCTCGACTGGCAGGGATCTAGGTATGTCCATGACGTAACTCTACTGCACCTTTGCAAATGTCTCAAATATTGTTTTTAGGGATCTCATTCAAGTGGCTGGGCGTTGGGCATATCGGTGTTGATTAGAAAGGAAAATCTCTTTCAAAAAGGAGTGGCGGTCGTAGCGGCAACTGGAGAGTAGACAGAATTTTTTGATGTCAAGTTATATAAGATGGTAAGTCGAATATCTCTGACGTTTGAGGTGCGCCAGCGCAGAGGGAATTACCCCAGGACTCTATGAACTTGCACGTATGCTTTGTGTAAGAGTAAGACAGTAAACAGTATCAATCACAGGTGTGAAAACGTGCTAATCTATCTGGTTTTATACTATCGAGCACGCTTGTCTATAATAATATTTTATACAATCGGCGTGGTTAGCTAGTTGTGCTGTAACATCCGTTGTTGTACTGATGTAACGTCGCTCAAAGCTCAAGGGGCCTCGAGAAAGGCCCTCGTTGCAGACGAGTTACAGAGAGGTAGTGCTATCGAACTTAGACCGAAGCGACACTCAAGTCGAGACGAAAATATTAACGAATGATGCAATGGACGAGAGAAGAAAGTCACTGACGACTAGCAAAAAAAAGGTAGTCGTGCCTGGTTAAGACCTGCGTAAAAGCCGTTACTGTGCTTATTAAACGTAACAAGCGCCACAACAAGTTGGTAACAAGCGCTTCCGGCAGGACCTAGCATCAGGGTAGCTAATATGAGGTTACGGCGAAAGCAGATGCGCCGCTTTATCTTCAGTTTAACCGCTTCAATTTGGGTGGTCAGTAAGATAAAATGATCAATAATAAAATAGCAAATACGTTTGCTCATGGAGCGTGTTTACGCTAGCAAAAATTTTAAACAAGATTGAAGAAAAACAAGATCGTGTATCTATAATAACTTTTTTTTTGTCGTAGAAGTGCATACTACCAAACGAGATGCATTAGCAGGCACATATTATAGAAGAGAAAAAAATCGCTTAATAAGGAAAGAACATTATTTTTTTATTCTTGAATAATAACGCGCTAATGTACATTGATGATAAAATCTTAGTGCTATAGCGTTACTTACTCATATTATGGTTGTCCTTCTTTTGGCGATCCTTTGCGAGCGCCTTGAGATCATTTTCGGTGAAGAACTCGCATGACGAAGACTCACTTTTGACCACTGAGGCGAGTTCGGCTCGGCAGGATGATGCTAACGGTGGTGACCACAGGCCATCTATTTCACTCGCTGGTCACCCGATTGCAGAACACCAATAAAACGATAAATACGACGACTTCTAATGATTATAGAGGCCGATAAATTATTGAGCCGATAATAAAATATATTTCTATGCCACTGAAAAGCAAGTTTATCTCGGTGAAGCAGCTGATCACATTGATATTTGCATCGTACGGCGATGCAATATCGAACCGATTCACCCACTCATAAGAATATGGGTCTGCCACCTATCAGAATGACTCATTCAGATCGCCGTGAATGCTGCTCGCATTAAGCTAGGAGATCTTCTCTAGCTCGCCAACAAATACGTTTTTACTACCTCGATTGAGTCAACTGCTATGTCGGTTAATGTAAAAGAAATACTGTCAAAATTTAAAAACATCGATAGTGAAGACGATTCAGGGACACAAGCAGCAGTGTTTACCTAATGGGCACCTATTCCAGTCTATGTTAACATTAGACGTTTACCTATCACAGTGCCCGTCGAGTTGGTGCCTAAACAGATATTCGTAGGGTTATTGCGCATTAGCTAACGAAAAATATGGGCGGAATTAAGAATTCTGATTTAGCGATGCCTCTAATGTGTGAGGAACCAGCGGAAGCTGCTTACAGAAGTAAGATATACCTGACGGAAGGCTGCCGCCGGCTCCGGACGAAGGATCGGTGCCGCTTTGTGTTGATGGCCCCTGCAGAGGCCCCATAGCCCCCGCCGATGTCGACGAGGAACCTGACGGTACCGTCGGGGGTAGTTCGAATAGCGAGAAATCATCTGTGTTTGTTAGCTGCGACAATCCGTCCAGCACATCGTCAAACTGAAAGAAAAAAACCAGTTGACCAACTAATTAGAATAAACATTTCTTGACGAAATACGTCGAGTTATGCAAGTATTAGTAGCATTTCAGTGAAGATAGTGTGACAGATAACGATTATCGAAAGATTCATCGGGTCTGTTCGCAAAAAAATATACGCCTATTATCTATAAGCTGAGTTAGGATGCAGGCAGGCAGTAATAGTTCACCTAGAGAACGGACCCATGACCTACGCGGTCCCTGACCAAAGAAAACGATAATTGTATTTTGGTAACCTAGTGAACTAGATATGGTACTATCTAGTGCATACCGATAAATTCAGCCCAGTTAGCATAGCCCAATTTGGCATTAATGTTGCGTATTGGACGAAAATTATCGCTGCATATATAGCCGTCAGAGGAATGGCTTAACGCGCTCGTTGCTAGGCCCGCAGTTAATGTAGAAATGCCGACCACGATGAATGGGCAAGGAGTTTTTGCTCTGCCGTCGGCCTAATCGTTATGATATCAATGTGGACTCATACTCAGTTTTACTCTGTTGGACAGAAGGAACTCTCATTAAACTGGGTGGTAAATTTTAGTGCTGTGGCAAGGTAAGACAGGACTTGCTCTTTTGGACAGTAGCTAAGGCCATGCTTCTGTGCCAGTGCTCCCACGCTACTGCTTACAAACGCATGCTACATATTATACATGAAACTCACTCAGGGAGAAGTTACGGGGACTGTTTCTAGCAAACGAAAGGTGCGTTCATTTCTTTTAAAAGCAAACCTGACGTTGTCCGATTAGCTAGCATACTAAGTTCCTGAATAAACTGAACCAAGGCACAGTTCCACCTATCGAATAGTAGCGATATACTCATCCGTCTTTGCCTTCCAATCTAGAGTTAAACAGCCATAGGTATTGTAGATTCGTTTATTTTCAGTTGCAAATTACAGGCTATACGAAAAGTAACAGTCTGGCTGGCAAGCAATAACGACCAGGATTTACAAACTACAAAACGTCCTCTAGTCTCGTCGTTTATCGCGTAGCTATCTGTCTTTAGGCGGCTGGAGAACTGCTACGAAGAGACTCGATGAGGACCAACGGCTGGAGACAATTGTCTCTTACCGAAGATGGCAGCCGATGCGGGAGCCCCATGATAACGAAATGCAGTCATTATTGTTTTGAGGCTTTCCGCCATAAGCCTACGAGCAATGCGGCACAATCTCGCGCGTCGGTAACGTATCGCGGTACGATGTGTGCGAGTGGTTCAAAGAGAGAAAACCTTCATGACGTATCAAAGCCATTCGGTAAATTAGTGATAAATTATTGCAGTCGAGGCAATCAACAGCTGCGCTGAACGTGAAAAGGCACCTGTCCTTTGTCGCTTTTCAGCCATCACGTTGATGATATATCATAGAGTGTCTATATTATAGTAAACAGAATAATCTAGGCTATCAAGGACTTGACTGAATTATCTGTACCTTGATCGTGAACGGTTGGCTGGGTCACAGAAACATGTGCCTCTACAAAGTACATTGAAATTTCAGCAATAAGTAAGTACGGACGCGCAAAACGAATTCGTAGACACGCTTCAGTCTGAATTATGAAAATGAATATACCGCTTTCTACTTGTTGAGCTTAAGACGGTTTATGTTTGCTCCAGGAAGGCCAATGTGAACTTTATGTGGTGCAAACTAGGCATGCCTGTCCGCAGCGTCTGTGGTCCAGGCATAGCCATATATATACATATGCATCCCTCCGAAACAGGTAAATATTCTCAGAATAGATAATAGGACCAGCGCCCGCCTGCGCTTGATACAGTTCTACAACAACAGCTTTCTCAAACAATAGACCGTGTTCCGGATGGGGTCGATTTCTGCTTTGAAGCAATTCGAAAGTAAAACGACCCGTCCATCCGTTGGCTGAGCACGATTCTAAAGGATCACGAGAAATTCTGCGGCCTCTTTTGCTTTCGTTTTTTGACCAATCGCCATTGTCTTCTCTTTTGTCCGCTCTCCTATCGCGGCCGTCGCCTCGACGCACACTCATTCCGGGAGGCATGCCTGCGCTCCATCGAGTTGTCCGTCAACTTGCGCATGCGGAGCAACACCGCTGGATCCTGTGCGTCACAGCGAGCCGAGAATGCAAAGCGGATGAGTGTCGCGGTGACCACAGGATGAGGACGTCAACCGACAGAACCGGTGGGCCAGTTAGTCAGGACAGCCCGAAGCGGGAGGCGCCGTCAACCCGATGCCCCGCTTGCGCGCCGCATCGCATATCTCTAGGTGCGCTGAAATAACATTTGAGACCGAGCCCGAAAGAATGGCGAGATATGTATTGGCAACGTGAACTATTATACTCGAGCCGACGAGCGTTCTGTGCGTGATCATTTGAAACGTGTGCTCTCGAGACAGAAAGGAGGAACGACGCGGATTGGCAAAAAGCGAGCAGGTAATCAAACAAACTACCGCGATCGACGCCTGCGTGTATCGTTCACTAAATAAACCCGGATTCCGTACACTGTGCTTATCGTGCACAGAGGCAAACAGTGATACATAGGCGCAAGACCGTAGTTGTACCTTAGGACGACGGCGGACAATCAGGGGTGACAATGAGATCCAACAAGGCTCAAAATACTATATTGACAATAGAAACAGTCAAACCTGCTTGATTTTATCATTTACTACCCATCCTGAACGGAACACGAGCAAAGGTAGCGCTGGAAACAAAGGAAAAATAAGAGAAGCTTCTAGTTACAGGGTTTGATCAGTAACAATATACAGTAGGAGAGACACATACACCGCGATGCTGACAGGGACGACGGTTAGCAACAGTGGACAGCCAGCTGTTATTAACAAGATGCATATAGCGAATCCAGCGATTCTCACAGCAATGGTTCAAGATGGCGTGTGGTACTGTTTCCTGACAGCGGACACCCCGTAACAATGATTAGCCAGAGGATCTACAGCCACTGCAAATATGTAAGACCGAGGAGGGCGTGGGCAGAAATAGCGTTGGCGCCCAACGGCACGAAATGCGAAAACGACGTGGTGGCCACCTGCAACTGGCAGCAGAACCGGGAACGATCACAGCTGTACTGAAATGTTTCCCTCTGAAATTGCCTGCTCGCTATACCCTCGTTATGTAAAGTTATGAGATACATGCAATCACATTTGCGGTTAGTGTTTATTGTAGGCGCTTCCATCTCTGGCTGTACACACAGTATTAATTCTAATGCAAAACCTTGTAAAATATCTAGATGAAGGGTGCTATTCATTAAAAATACACGTGGAATCATTTTAAGCCCTTAGCGATAGGGCAGCCATCATATTTTTTCCATAATATTACTAATAGAAACGATGCTCATAACAAAAAGACTTTTACTCTAGGTACTAAAGTAATCGTTGGTGAATTATAGTTTATTTATTAACAAATCGAGCAATTTTAAAATCGTGTCTGTAATTAATCGAGTTAAACTGCTTCATTCTAAGAGGCTCGCGCTTCGTGTAGCCTTCACCATGTAAGTAAATAAGGTCTTCCGTCTTCATTCGAATCTATTCATACAGCCAATGTGTATTTCATGTTTCCGCTGAAAAATTTTCTGGATGAAATTAGGTCTCTGGGTTCGGGCAACGAAGTTTTTGCTTTGACGTCAAACAAACGCAGGCATTTATTCTCAAGGGAGAACCAAAGGCTTTTAAGGCCTATTTTCTTCAGCGGAAACATTCAAAAACGTTTCGCGGCCTGTTTGCTGATCCTTAAACGTGAGATCGTTGTAAGCGTTGTGTTAACGCATTGTCTCTACTTATATGTTGTCCGTTCGGAGATCTAGATTCAGCGCAAAAAAGTCATTATGGATGCGGTGATGTCGCCATTCGCAAGCGCGGCGCGTGCCAGGAGTGGGAATGCACGCTTAGCTTCTCTAAGCATGAGAAAAATAAATAATCAGGGTAATATGTACGCCCCTGAGCAACACAAAGAAAGTTCGCATACGGCGTCGACGCTTGGCCATCGAAGCGAAGGCGTAATGCTTTCACGAAATGCTACAGAACACCTCAGCGGTGCCACCTCGCGGCCCTAGCGTATGCTGTGAGGCACTTGTGAGCGCCGACTCGTAAGGACAGCACGAGTAAACCGTAAAAAGGATAGAGTAGATGCTAATTTTAGGGATACATTGTAGTCGAGTGCGGGTACAGACATACTCCGTTTCGTGCTGAGAGCCATCTGTCTGATAAAAAGCCTAACGGCGATACCAGACCTAAAATTCGAAACGTCAGAAGTACAGTAGATGAATGGTGCTAGATTTGAAAGAGGGGCCAGGATTATATCACTACAATTTACAGCGTATCATGTTTGATCCACATTTATGGTGCTGTGCGGTGGGCTAGTCGTGGATAAACATGCAACAAAATAGATAGACATGATGCACTAATTATGTGTCTTACGGAGTACAAGTAAACAAGTATATACATTGGTATAGATATGTTGATTCATATTACTTCGATCTTTAATATTTGTTGTGAAAAACCCTAAACGAGAACTGCTTTTGTCTTTGTGTCCCGAAAGCCGTATACTCTGTTGCTGCCATCACGTTGATATTCCTTCTAGCTTTTTCCACAAGCGTTCGTCTTATACTCGATGACGTCAAGGCGATGCAGCTATCGGCTTTGCTTTTGCGTATGACAGCACCCAGTAGCAGCGACAACAACGAGATATGCGCCCAGCGAAATATAATGCATATTTCTAGCTCCTAGCAAGCTGCCTCTTCCATATGACGGCAACAATCCACCGGTTTTTCAAGCCGTAACAAGGCGCCAGCCAGCAGATAGCGAGCAGTGATGTCTCCAGAAGGTCCCGGGGCTATCCGGAGGAGTGGACGGGCAAGCAAGTATAGAACGGAGGGCAAGTAAAGCGGCTGGTGGCTCTCTTGCGCGCTGTCGTCAATGGCTCCCATTGCTAGATCTCTCGGCCGACGAATGGCGAAGGCGGCACCTTTTCGACGTCCTTCCGGTTCCCCGATTT